GGGCTTGAATTCACAAACCAAGAGATCAGAACCTGAGCCAAAGTCAGACACTTAAGCGACTGAGCCCCTAGGTGCCCCTCTTCTGTCCATTTTTAAACTGAGTTATTTGTCTTTTTGTTGAGTTGTAAGAGTTCTTACAACTCAAGAGGGACACAAGTCCCTTATTATATGCATGCTTTACAAATATTTTCTCCCATTCCGTGGGTTGTCTTTTTCTTTTTTTTTTTTTTTTGATGGTATCCTTTGAAGCACAGAAGTCTTTAATTTTGATGAAGTCTAATTTACCTAATTTTTCTTTTATCACTTGTGCTTTTAGTGTCATATCTAAGAAACTACTGCCTAATCCAAGGTCACAAAGATTTATATCTATGTTGTTTCTTTTTTAACATTTATTCATTTTTGAGAGGGAGAGACAGGGATTGAGCAGGAGAGAGGCAGAGAGAGAGAGAGAGACATAGAATCAGAAGCAGGCTCCAGGCTCTGAGCTGTCAACACACAGCCCAACGTGGGGCTCGAACCCATGAACCATGAGATCATGACCTGATCCAAAGTCGAACGCTTAACCAACTGAGCCACCCAGGCACCCCTATATCTATATTTCTTCTAATATGTTTATGATTTTAGCTCTTACATTGTCTGTGATCCATTTGGGGTTAATTTTTGTAAATGATATGAGATAGGAATCCAACTTCATCTTTTGGCATGTGGAAATCCAGTTTGTCCCAGAACCATTTGTTAAAAAAACTTTCTTCCCTTTCCCTCCACCCCATTTGTCTGGGCACCCTTATCAAAAAGTCAAGTGAATGTAAATGTAAGGGTTTATTTCTAGACTCTCAATCTTATTCCATTGGGGAGCATATTTTTCTAAGGGATTTTTTTTTCCTCGATCTGTGGTAGCCGGTGATTTCTCTTCCCCTGGAAGAGAGGTGGAGATATTGAGTGATCTCCCAAGCAGACTGCATTTCCTTTGTTGGGTCAGGCATCCACAGCACTGTGCACTGGCCTAATCACAGTGACCTCCTCCTATAGGAATCAGAAACCCCTCCATTGTTTTGATGGCAGCCAGGAAGCAGCTGACTGACCAAAGGACCTTATCTCTTTCCTACCTCTCAAGGTTATTGCAAACATCAAATTAGATAATTTCCACAAAAGAATTTAGGAGGTATAAAGTGCTATCCAGATGTAAGGTGTATTCTTACTATAGCTCTCCCTCATGAATAAGAACCTAAAAAGAGAGTGAGAAGTTTTTAACTTTTACTCATTGGGATCAAGGCGGTGTCAATGTTATTGCAAATTCCCGATTAGTGAGGTCTGGCTCTTTCTGTTGTTCTTGTAGGCTGTGAGCCTCCCACCTGGAAAGTGAATACGATTGGTATTTATTCCTTTTATCCACGTCCCCCCTTCCTTGAATGAGGGCCTACTTTGTGCCAGGCACTGTGCTAAGCTCTAGGAAAACCCGAGAATAAGGCAGACAGAGTCTCTGTCTCCTGGAGTTGATGGCGTAGTAGGGAAGCAGCACCCCTCAACAAACTATTATAGTAAATGTGACCGTTAGAGAGGTGCAGTGACGCCTCCAACCAGCCCTGGTATCAGTTTGCTCCACGCAAACCACAGGGATTAGACTGTCTTCCCACCTGTTTACCTTTCTTCTGTGATTTTTCGGCGAAGCAGAGGCTGCTCCATGCCGAACCCAGATGTTCTGTAGACATCATCACAATGCCACACAGACCTGAGAGGGGACCAGCCTGTTCTATCATCGTCCTAGATGTGGTTCTCAGGAGCTCTTCAGAGGGCAGCCCTGGCTGAAACCTGCCTCCATCCTGCTTTCCTGGGGTTTCTTTCCTGAAGACAGAAAAAGGCTCCCTGGTTACAAGCTAAGCCTCACGCTCTTTTTGCACTGCACCCATCCTCCTCTCCTCCCCCCTCCTCCAGGGGCTGAAAGGGTGTCGCTCTCACCACCCCACCCCACCCCCACCCCACCCAAGCCTCCAGTGGAGACTCTTCCTTCCCAGAAAACAGCAGCTCACTTGTGTGCCCCATGGCTCATTGCCCTCATAGCATGGAAAACCAAGCTATGAGGACCCCCTGCGAGCACCTTCCTCTTCAACCCACCTCTACCCCCATCCTCCTCCACACCTGTCTTCCTGGCACTGTGTCATCTGACAAGACGGCACCATCTCGGGGTTCCTCAGGTCACGGCCTCCTGCACATGCTCCATGACGAGGTGAGCCCATGTGTCCCTCAGAGCTTCAGGCTCCATCCACACGCGGGTACCCAGGATCCCCAACTGCCCCAAGCAGCTGAACGCCTTGTGGGCGCCCGCGCAGCTCTCGACTGCTTCTTTTCCTGCTGCTTCTGCCCTGCCTCTGCTTCTTCCAGCCTCCCCTCCCACGCCCTTCTCCACATTCTACTATAGCATATAGGGTCCTCCCACCTCTGTGGACAGATGTCCCCAGGAGGAGTTAGGGGAGGACCCTCAGCTTCCACAACCTGGGGAGATGCCATTCTCTCCCTTCCCTGTGCTTGTCACTTGGAGGGACACGTGGATGAGACAGGGAAAGAATGAGGAGTGTGGAGGCCTGAGGTGACTTGGAGCCAGCCACTCAACCTAAGTCTTGATCTCTTCATCTGTCAGTGAAGGGGTACTTCCCATCAGGAGGCTCATCTCTAGCTCTCAGAGGCTGCAAGTCTGTGTGGTTGTTTCTGTGTAAGCGACTGACAGCTTGTGTCCCCAGTGGGAAGAGGGCATGTGTGCCAGCCCTCCCGTCCCTCTATGCAAACCCTGTCACAACAGCCCCCTCCATTGTTCCCCCCCTTTCCCGGTAGTCCCCCACCCAGTGTGCAGGTGCGCTGGGGGCTCTGAGCATCTCTGCGGCACCTCCCCCGGGGCGCCTCCAGCCTCCAAAGCAGAAACTTTCCCCGCGCGGGTGCAGGCCACACCCCCTCCCCCCAAGGCCTGGCGGAGAAGCTGGACCCGGTGACTGATCATTAACCCCATCTCTGCTGCACCAGCGGCGCTGCGGACAGCTCCCCCACTGTGTCACTCGGGAACCCAGAGAGGCCTGGGGCGGTGAGGCCGGAAGATTGAGCATCGCAGACCGCCGGGCTCCCGGGGGCCTGCGCCGAGGCTGGGTGATGGCAGGGAGAGGGCACCGTGTGCAGACTTGGGTGTTCCAGCAAACTGCTGGCTCCCTCAGCTTCAGGGGTGTGTGTGTGTGGAGGGGTCCCCCTTTCAAGCTTCCTCTGTGAGAGCCTGACCTGAGCCCCCTCCGCCGCCGCCATCCCCCCCCCCCCCC